GGATGACACTAAGCTGGGGGGAGAGGTAGATACGCTTAAGGGCAGAGATAGGGTCCAGAATGACTCAGACAGATTGGAGGATTGGGCCACAAGAAATCTGATGAGGTTCAACAAGGACAAGTGCAGAGTCCTGCACTTGGGACGGAAGAATCCCAAGCATAGTTACACACTGAGGACCAACCAGTTAAGTAGTAGTTCTGCAGAAAAGGCCCTGGGGGTTACAGTGGATGAGAAGCTGGATATGAGTCAACAGTGTGCCCTTGTAGCCAAGAAGGCTAATGGCATATTAGGTTGCATTAGGAGGAGCATTGCCAGCAGATCCAGAGAAGTGATTATTCCCCTTTATTTGGCTCTGGTGAGGCCACATCTGGAGTATTGTGTCCAGTTCTGGGCCCCCAAGATAGAAAGGATGTGGACACATTGGAGAGGGTCCAGCGGAGGGACACCAAAATGATTAGGGGGCTGGAGCACATGACCTATGAGGAGAAGCTGAGGGAGTTGGGTCTGTTCAGTCTGCAGAAGAGAAGAGTGAGGGGGGATTTGATAGCAGGCTGTTCTCAGTAGTGACAGATGGCAGAACAAGGAGCAATGGTCTCAAGTTGTGGTGGGAGAGGTCCAGGTCGGATATTAGGAAAAACTATTTCACTAGGAGAGTGGTGAAGCACTGGGATGGGTTACCTAGGGAAGTAGTGGAGTCTCCATCCCTAGAGGTGTTTAAGTCTCGGCTTGACAAAGCCCTGGCCGGGTTGATTTAGTTGGGATTGGTCCTGCCGAGAGCAGGGGGCTGGACTTGATGACCTTCTGAGGTCTCTTCCAGCTCTATGGTTCTATGATTCTATGATTCTATGGGAGACCAGGACTACAGAGGGGTTTTCACCCCAACTGTGGAATAGCCTATGATGTGTATGGCTCAGTAGATTGTGACCCCCTGCCTCTAGAAAAGAAGAGGCTATGTGGAGGGTCACAGCAAACCTCTGAGGCAAACAGTCAGAAGCACAGGACCCTCAGGGCATGGCCAGAGCTTTGACACAACATTTAGACACACACAGTGGACAGTTGTTTTATTTAGTTTTTGGAAAGCCTATACCTGCTAGCTTGTGAGGAAGACAGCAACATCAAGAATTTCTGGATGTCAGTTTTCACACTGACACCAAAAGCTACCTCATAAACATTTCCCTGTAAGAAAAACCTCTCTTAGAAACAAGGGCAAGCATCTGCATCTTTGGTTGATCTGTGAATTATCATGTAACTTAAGAGACTTTAGCATAATGCATATGCACAAGGAGACTGAATTGACATTGCACAAGCACTCTTAATTCTGGCATTTCCTAACTTTTGAGTGACTGATTTTGCAGTCTTGGTAATGCTCTTTTACTGTAGGTTTTGTTTTGTGTTTGTAAACTATTTATGGTTCACCATAGTTACGGTTAGTGTTTTACCGGGAATTTCTTTATTATCACAATATATTAAATAACATGGACATTGATACTAAAATTTCTGCCAGGTTTCTTTATTTTTCAGGAATAGCCCTCTCAGACCCAAGTCTTTTCCACTAATCATTTAATCCAACACTGTCACATAATGATAATTTACCATAAATTATTTGGTGTTGGCAGGTAGACATTTGTTTTCATATGTCATCTTTCTCAGTGGAGAAAACCTCCCTTTTGGGAAGTGCACAACCAATCCAGGCCAGTTTGTCCAATGGTGAGACCTATCCACATCTGAGATAAGTTGTCTTGGCACAACGCATTTAAAGGATTTTCTGCAAATATGGTTCCTTATAGGCTGTCAATAATGCTGGTGGCTGCTGTAGCTAAACTAGTTGGGCACTGTAGAGAATCAACAAGTATAGTGCATTGACCGCATGACAGGGCATCCAAGGACAAAACCAAGAAAAGCTGCAGAGCTTGGAGGACGATCCAGGAGTCAGCGGGAACGCGCGTAATCAAGAGTCCTGAGCCAACAATAACAACATCTGCCCGAGTCAACGACCTTCGAGAATGCTGTGTTGGGACTGTGAAAAAGCACAGTTTGTGAAAGGCAGGATGTGGACTTTTGGGAAGTTGAGAGGGTATAAAGATAGTTGTAATCTTGCAATAAAATGATTTCGTGATTGCACCGGCCGGAGTCCGTGCCTTCATACACCACATAATATGAAATCCCCTCACTAGGTAGTCCTTACCTCTTCCAGAAGCCTCTGTTTGAGCTCACGTTCTGTCTCAAGCTTCTGTTGTAAACTGCGTGCATTCATCTCCAGCATTGCATGCTTCTTCTCCAAGTCATTGAGCTAGTTGGGTCACACAGACATGGTCAGACACACCAACAAGTAGAATAAGATTTAAAATCCAAATTCACCAAACATAAAAGGCTGGAATGAAAAATATTATTTACTGCTTTTTTAAAAATCCAGACCACTGGGTTTTGGTTGACACTGCTCAAATATGAATGTCACGTCAGTTAAGGTATGTCTACACAGCAGCGTTACTTTGGAATAACTAATGTTATTCTGAAATAACAAAGAGCATGTCTACAATACAAGCCTTTATTTCGAAATAATGTCGAACTGGAGGACTTCTTACTCCTACTCCTGTAACCCTCATTGTACAAGGAGTAAGGGAAGTCAGAGGAAGAGAGCTCTTCCTTCAACTTCCTGCTGTGTACAAAGTGCCAAAAGCTGAATTAAGCCATTTTGACATCAGCTACACAATTGACACAATTTTCCCTACTGTGTAGACGTACCCTTAGAGATGTCATTAACACGCATGATGTCAGCATCTGCCCTTTGTGTTAGATTTAACGGATGGAAAAACAAGGCTCTAGGCCTGCAGGACTGCATGTTCAAGAAGAGAGGCCTCCATCTTTTTGTAAAATTTACCCCCAACAACTGAAAGAGACTGTTTAGCTCAAAACCACATTTCTATCACGAACATCTGAATTGACACATTTTTATTTGGTGAATGTATAGAAGATTAAGGTGAAAAGATTCTGACCTTGTCAGAAAGACTCTCAGCTTTGAGTTTTTGCTCCTTCAGTGCTTGCTGGAGAGCAAGAATCTCTGCCTTGTGTTCTTTAACAGCTAGTTCTACCACCTGGCGGGATTCAGTAATACACTGGTCTGCTCGCACTCTGTATTGAAAATGGAAAAAAATTTTACCTATGATTTCCTCTCTGGGATTGACCACTTCCTAGGATGCCAGGACATCAATCGACGCTTTCAGAGGCTTGCCTCAAACTCAAAATGTTGGTTTATATAGCTCGTTGGCTTACTGTGATGCTTCCACATTATACAACTCTGTTCTCAGCCCCTGCTGGAGCTACTGCTTGGGAATTCAAAGTCACCAGAACAAGGAATTAGAATCAAAGATGATTTTACCATATCATGGTACAGTCCAGGTTTAGTTTGAAAGTTTGCAAGTTACAGTCAGAAATACGATTTTCTATATTCAGTGCCCTTGCACGGGAATGAAAGGGAATAGGTATCACCAGAGTGTCACATGTATCGGTTTAAATATCCAGCTTCTAGATTTACCTCTGTCACGTTACTGGATTTTGAGGGGAGCAGCCAGATCACTGATGCACCCATGGGGGGGTGTTGGCCCCAAAAATGGTATAAAAGGGAGCCATGTAGGGTGTTGAATAGAAGCTTACTGTCTGCTAATCCTATGTACGCTAGTCATGTGTTTGAATAATGTCTGTGGGTGTAGTTAGGAATCTGTAATCTGTGTAGATACTGAATATTTCTCTGCATGTGATTGAGCAGTGGGCAGAGCCCAGCCTATGGACATGCTAATCAGCGAGGCCCTGTGGGACAATGGCACTCAATGGGCCAAGGACACACCTAAAGAATGAGTGGTGACTCATACCTAAGGGCTACCAGCAGTGAACACAGGAAGTAGCCGTGGGCCAGGTGACCTGCTGGAGCCAAGAAGAGACCAGGAATGAGGGATAAATAGGCCATGTGGTGGACTCCATCTTGGTCTTCAGCTCAGCACTTCATCCCAGAGGCAGCAATGCAGGGATCGAAGAGCCAGAAAGACCTGTGGACCCATCCTGATCCTAGGATGTGCAATAAGGACTTTTAAACCAGCAGCTGCAACATCTCTGCTAGAGCCTGCATCGAGGACTGGGAGATTCGATGCATGTAACGTACTGTA